GGGGGGTCAAAGGTGGCAACGCGCATTGTATTTGGGATTATTACCTCTAAAGTGCTATTGCGTGGCGTATCATTAAAAGTCAATGCTCGGCGCTCCCGCCCTCGCTCACCCTCGCCGCCGCACTCCTTAAACACACAGACTCATTTTGCACGCAAGCCTGCACATCGCCAGCCATTTAATGACTAAAATACGACCCGTGTTCAGATAAATGTCACGGGGCCATCTATCTGTGAGTGTTAAAACCTCGCCTAATGGAAATGACATATTACCGGCCCAAATGACTGCAATAAAAGCCGCCGCCGTCGCTCGCAGCGGATGGCCGCGATGTAGCCGCCGCCGCCGCCGCTATCGGTTCGACAGAAGGCGGCGAGGAACAATGCGTGTGAGGTCATGCCGGCCTGAAGTCTTCTAATTGAATGGGATAAAAGTAACAAGGAGATATTTCAAAAGACACTCGAGGCGACACACGACCTTTGACCTCGCCCGTGAGAAGCTGGCCATAAGTTAGGAGTCGGGTCGATTTGCGGTGCGTGTCGATACAGCGGGGGCCGCCCACCCGCGCGATCGATTTTTAGAGCCGCTGCCTCCATCTCTCGCGAGGGAGCTGGTTGCCGATTCCCACCCCCCCCCCGCACCCTCCACCTCCCGTCCATCTCCTTATTAATTACCCTCCTCTAGCCATGCGTGTCTTTCTCTCAGAGTGAACGGAGCCCGTTTTGTAATTGCTTCTCTCCGGAGCAGTTACGAGCGTCATCGCGGCGCTGGATGGAAAGCGCATTTGCATTCCAGATGAGCAGAGATGAAGAGCGCGAGCCGGCGCTGCCCTCCTGCCCCGTACTGAGCAGCTTCACTTACTCTTTTTCTCCACACCTCCCTCCTCCCGCCCCCCCCACTTCATGCCTCCCTACTTCTTATCTACCCCCCCCCCTCCTTTTCACAGCATGGCTCCCCTTGCCTTGTCTTCTGACAGAGTTCCAAGGTCGACGGGGAGCTTGCTCATCAGAGCACGGTTTATTGCGCTTAATGCAGGTGGGGATGAGCCAATCTGCGTGTGCGGATGCGTTGGTGTGCAAGCATATCCAGAGGCCCGCTAATGTGAACATAAATACTCACCCACTTACACACAAGCACACACACGCACACCCAAGGGTGTGGGGCGGACGGGGAGGGGCTACTCGGCGTCCATTTCCCAGCCTGATCCGCTTTTCTTTTGCGTTTTTGTGATCGATAGCGTTCAAGCGGCAAATCACCCCGAAGCATTGCCACTGTTTGGTTGACACGATCCACTC